GCTGGACCATTTACTTGATAGATACTTGTAAAAAAATAAATTACTCTTAGAATTAACTTTACAATATTCTTTCATACAATTAAAGTATAGATAAAATGAAAAGTACAAAGCAAACTTAATACTAAAAATTAACAAAATTGAAAAAATATATTTAATATTGTTTTGTGGCACAGAGAGTTTTGTTCGCTGACGACAATATTCGCTATTAAAATTCTACAATTTATATGCGCAAGATGAGATATTTACCATTTGGACAAAATTTGGACGAACAATTTGGTACCATTGAAAGTTTACAAGTCTAAAAGTACATAAATTATCTCTGCGAAAATTATAAATGTGAATTAAAAGTAAAGAAATATGAGAAAACAGTATGTCGTCGGCAGGTCGGATCTTCTGACAGATGGCACTGCTATCGATTAGAAAAGTAAATAATAAATATTATAGTAAATAAGTAAACATGCAATATTTCTTCTCCTATTTTCCTAATTTTGTAAATTTATATATTTTTATATGTGAAATATATCCTGAGAAAAAAAATTCTTTCTCACTTATCAATGTTTAATAATTGATTGAGAATAATTATAAAATGCGCTTTGAAAAATTACACTTTTTTCAAATTAATGAGAATTCTTATCGCAGAAATATTTTTTCATTGTAAAATATCAATGAAATTTTACAACCATATTATGGTATCAAATTTACGTTTGGTTGTCTGACGAGAGAAGTGCGAGGGCGAACGATAAATAATTAAATCACCAACAATTATCGACCATAATTGTGTATACGTATTCGATGCGTTCGCGGTTGTCATAGTGACGACGCGATGAAATATTTTTGATATTCACATTATGACAATTATCATATGCAACAACGCGATGAACTATACATTGTTAGCAGTCTCTCAAGATCGCGATTCACCGTAGCAATAATTTAAGAATGAGTGCGATTCTTGGTGCGGGCGATAGCAACGAGAACATCATTGTATTCGATGTGTCGAAAAATGAGAGAAAACTGAATGACGAGTTCAAGGTACTTCAACGAAAACTGAAGGCAAAGTGGAGATTTATTGAGTAAGTTAACATTAACATTTTCTAAACAACTTTCACAACATTGCTACATATTTACATTAATATAAATAAAAATTGATTATATATATATATATATAAAGAAAAAATATATAAATTATATTAAGCAATATAAATTGTTAAACTTATATTGGATAATACATCTTAGGAATAATGAAGTGATATCGCAAGAATCATTGACAAATGCCAAAATCTTAGTACTGCCAGGACCACTGGGTAAGTTTACAGAGCTCGAAATGAATTCTATTAGGACCTTCTTAAATTCTGGTGGTAATGTCCTTGTCACACTTGGAGAGGGTGGTGAGAATAAGTCTAATACAAACATCAATTTTCTGCTGGAGGAATTTGGTATAATGGTAAATAATGGTGTGTAAAATATTTGAGGGAAGATATGTTTTTATCTCTCCTCTTTATTATAAACTTTGTTTGCAAAAACTCATGTTTTAACTTTTTTATTTGCAGATAGTGTAGCTCGCATGAGTTATAGTCAAACAATGCATCCCAAGGAATCTCTTATCTCCCAAGGCTTGTCAAACAAATCTGTGTTTTTGAAGAATCATGACGAGTATATGTAAGATAGTCTTGTAGTATTTAACTTTTTGTTGAATTATTGCCCAATTTTTAATATAGAATTATTTTAGTGGAATGAAATTCTTGTATCCTTATGGTGCAACATTAAATGTGGTACAGCCATCTATTGTTGCTTTATCCAGTGGATCAATTGCTATTCCCATGAATAGACCAATTTGTGCATATCATTGTGTGAAAAACAGTGGTGGCAAGCTCATTGTGCTGGGTTCATCTAGAATGTTGACGGACACTTATATAGAAAAGGAAAACAATGATGCATTGCGAGAAATGATTTTTGACTTTTTTGAATTAAATGTCTCGGAAGTGGTAGATCTTCATACAGATGATATAGAAGTAAGTTTGCATTTGTAGAATCATCACAAGCCATGATCTTTTTGTTAAATGTATAAATCATTATATAAAGATTGAAGATTTCTTATGTTTTGGCTATGCAAAATAATTGACAAAGAATATTTTTATGTACACAGTTTTGGGAATACAATTTCGTGCCAGATATAACGCAACAGGCTGATAATCCAAAAGTTTGCACGCAAGATCTAGATAATATTGACATACCTTACGAGTATACCAAATTATTTAAACATCACTTTTATTCTATAAACTTGAATATGATACCAGCTTGCATAAAAGCATATGAGGCTTTAGGAGTAAAACACGAGCCGCTTACGTTGATTCCACCTCATTTTGAGGCGCCTCTACCTCCGACACAAGCTTCAGTAAATATAACATAGTCCCCATATTTATTTCTAACTTATACTAATTTATTATTACACATAAACTCGATATAATTTCGCAGGTGTTTCCTCCAAGCTTCCAAGAATTACCACCACCTGCTTTAGAACTATTTGATCTGGATGAAGCTTTCAGTTCAGATTTGTTAAAACTATCACAACTCACTAATAAATATATGGCAACGAAGGAGTTGTCAAATGACAAGGAATTAGATCACTATATCAGGGAATTTGGAAGTATAATAAGGATAAATAATTCCGATGCACATACCGCTACAGAAGTGTTAAATTCCGTTTTTCAGAAAATCTGCAGTTACAAGGCAATGCACGATTGAAGTTTTTGTATAGAAAAAATATTATTTATTATAAATATTATTTATTATAAATAGCTGATTTTATAAACTCATCGATTAATGTTCGTAATAAATAAAAATGTTAAATATTTTATTTGAACTTATTTTCATGACATGCTCAGTATTGTGTAGTAGCACCTGTCGATAATGCAGAATATTTGAATCGAAGTTACATTTTCTGCAACAGCAGTGTTATAGACGCATAAGTTGTGCGGCGCAACCAATCGTAGTCGTTGTTTCGTGAAAAGGGGAAGACTCAAAATATTTGCTGAAAATACGATTAAAAATAGGAAAAATGGTTGTTTAGTCTACAATAGCAGGGCATTTTCGCAATTTAAAAAAGATTTCTAATTTTTATGCAATTAATAAGCCACAAAAATGTCTGTGTTTTTTGTAAATACGTAAGTAAAACTATCATTTTTAGGTTATGCGTTATTATATTAAATATACCGCAAAATATGTACACAAAAAAGACTAATATGCTACCCATGAATTAATTCTTGTTTAATTTTAATGTAACTTACTCTTCTACTTCTTAATTCATAATATATTTTATTTTGATATGCTTGTTGCAGCAAAAAAATTTTGATCTGAAATTACAGAATCTCGCTATAACAACTTTATACTTTATTCATATTTTAGAAATGTTTTATATATATATATTAAAATTATTTTCAATGATTTGTTTAATTTTATAAAGCCTCTGTAGAGTTCATTTTTCTTTGTGAAAAAAATAAGTTTATTATTAATTAATTTTTTGGATTTTTTTGATCTTTAAACTCCACATGGTTTTGTATATACTTAGAAGTTATATTTTGTATTATATTTAGAAGTTACGAGAAAATCCATTACTCTTGAAAGAATGCTGTCTTTTATTTTTCAATCATAATGTGATTTTTTAAGTTAAAGAAAATGCATGCATTTTCCAAAATTTTTTTAAGCAATTTTTTAAATAATTTAGTAGATTTATACATTCAGACATTAGATACTTAAATCCAGAATGTACTAGAATTAGAATGTACCAGAAAAACATCTTTAATTTGACTTTTATGAATTAACTTTTATTGTAGAAATTTATTAATTAATTGATTAATCTATAATTATAAGCATTAAATTAAATATATACAATTTTTATTTTATATTAAATCAATATTTAGTTAAGGATTTTATAAATATAATGATATTAATTCATAATAAATAAGTAGAAATAAACAAGAAATTTATATTTTTGCAAATAGAACATAAGATAAAGTTATAACAGAAAACATTTTCTATGTGTCTAGAAATCAAGATAGCGAAGTAGAAGGTGATTCAAATGGAGATTTACAGATTGCCTCACCGGGCAATTCCGAGGCTCAACAAGCATTGGCTCATTTCTGGCCAAAAGTCATGGAAGAAATAAAAAATATCACAACTGTTAGTTAGATTATATAATAATTTGATAGAATTTAATTTTTTTGTGTAATACTTAGATAAATAAATATTCTCATTATATAGATGGACCTTAAAACACAAGCCTTACCATTGGCAAGGATAAAGAAAATCATGAAATTGGATGGAGATGTAAAAATGATAAGCGCGGAAGCACCTATGCTCTTTGCTAAAGCCGCAGAGATTTTTATACACGAACTGACCCTTCGAGCTTGGGTGCACACAGAAGACAATAAGAGGCGAACTCTTCAGCGCAACGACATTGCAATGGCGGTTACGAAATACGATCAGTTTGATTTTCTTATAGATATAGTACCTAGAGACGAAATCAAACAAAGTAAGGCACAAAATGAGGCCACTGTTCGTACATCTATGAACTCGGACCAAGTTCATTATTACTTCCAATTGGCGCAGCAACAGGCCTCAGCGAATCAAAATGTGCAAAGCAGTAGCACTACTACGCAGCCCATACAAATTGTCCAACCTTCAGGCGGACAAATCCAGACCATCAATATCGGCAGTCCTGTGGAACAAGTATTATTTTTAATATTTATGCTTTTATTCAAGAAATATATTACTTATATATTACTTATAAGAGAGATTATATTTTTATCCATATATTTATCCATTACTTTTATCCATACGATTAATATATTTTTATAACTTCATTGATTTTAGGAAAGTACTAACACGACTACGGCCCAAACAGTCACGGTTCAAAGTCCACAACAATCATCCAATCAACAAATCATTCAACTGCAGCAACCGCAACAAACGTCCACCACGCAGACCGGAGGGATACAAATTGTCCAACAGATTGTCACTCCTAACGGCGAAATTCAGCAAATACCCGTAAGCACAAAAATATTGTATAATGATCTATTCATTTAATTACATGTTATATTTCTCGACTTTCAGATTCAGTTGACTCCCCAGCAACTGCAGATGATTCGCATGCAAGTGCAAGGCGGGAGCAATCAACCGATTATAATACAAACCGCTCCAATTCAGACGCAACCACAATTAATACAAGTTGCACAAGGCTCTCAAGCTCCAGTTTTTTACAAGCCTCCAGTGCTGATACCGAATAATATTAATTAACTTTAACATTTATATAGCTATATTTATAATGACATAATATACTGAGAAAGAAACTGATAAATCAGATTATCGTTTTGTAACATAATTACCTGATAAATTGATCAATTGCCCACTGTTTAGAATAAATATTTTTTTTATTATAAGTAACTTGAAATAAATTAATACAAAATCCAAACTCAGGACATAAAACATGTTTCAAATATCTTTTGCAAAGATCTTTTGCAAAGATATTTTTAAGATATCTTCCGATTTTGGATTTATATTATGTGAAAAAGAATAAATGATGATGTTTGAAATATGAATCATATAACTATATATCATATAATTATATCGATCATGTCATATAATATGATCATATTGTCATATGATTATATGGTATGAAATTAATGTCTTTTCTATTCAAATTCTTTTTACAAATCAAAACTGATAAGTATCATTCGATATAACCATATATAAACATATCTTTATTATTGTAATATTATCTTGCCTTTTTATCATTCACTGTTCTCTGAAATATGTAATATACGCGACATTGTTAATAACAAATAAAAGATCAACAGAGATTAATACAACTTGATAAAATTTTTATTTGTTGGAAGACTCACTTGTTTTACAATATATCTTCCATCTCTCACTTGTGTGTTTTTTAAACTTCTACAAAAAGCTTGTTTGTTTAAAAATTTTTGTTACTATTTACGATTCTCCCCAAAATATCTCCGGTTCATCGTGATCGTGCATCCGTTATTATAAGCTGATCGAAGGGTTGGTCACTCAAGCGAAATGAGGTGAATCGAGGCGATGTAAGGTGAAGAATAAAGATAAGCAGCCAACGCAAGATGTAATCTGATTCGTACGTCGCGTTCCTTAGCCGCTGCTTCGCATGGCTGAGCTTAGGACTGGCTGGTGCAACTTGTATTATGTTTCACGTTGCTGCGGTTCTTGTCTGGCGAGTCCTGAGGCTCAGAATCTCCACAATAGCCTCGAAATGTCACGTAACACTAACTACACGTATTCTTATTAATACGTTCTTATTAATAACGTTAATACGCGCCTTAATGTAATGCTGTTAATCTTAATGTAAGAAAAATAACTACACGTTCGCATTCATCATTCGCTTATCGTGAAATGCGCGTGCTATATTATTAAGGAACTTTATTATTGTTCACTCCGACAACAAATGATAAGCGCTATATGAATAATTAAAATTCATCACTAAATTCATCACGAAACACAACAAAAGGAACAAATCTACAATCTTTAAAAGATTCCTGACTTCAAAGATCAAATATCAAATTTTTATGTAAATGAATTCCTTCTTTGATTATAATTCATTCATTATTTACGAGGAATTAACTTAAGTAGTGCGAATGAAGATGTATGTAGAATAAGATAAAATAGGAACTAACTAAAGAGACCACCGTCAGCGACTGATATTTGCCGATATATTAAAACTTGATCGATTGGAATACCAATTCGTCGGGAAACCTTCGAATATATATACTGGGTGCTGAAAAGAAAACAACGTATATAAAAGTTTATCTCACAGAACTTTTTCAATAATTTGAATAAATTTTTGTCTGGCAGAGATTTGATTAAACATTATCTTTTTTTCGTCCTCTTTTGAATATTGAATATATTATAAATAAATGCCGTTGTAATTTAGATAAAACTAAGTGAACACAAATCTATTATTTGTTTATATCTGCGGAAAAACACTTTTTTTAACAAATCTAAAAATTTGATCAGATATAAATCTGAAAATAATTTTGTTGAACTTTCAAAATTATTATACAATATTCAAATTGATTGTTAAAAGATAAAAAATTTTTGCATCATATTTAAGTGTCCTAGATAATAATTTTGATAATCTAACAAAATTATTTTTAGATCTGAATTTAGCTAAATTTTCTTTTAGATTTGCAAAACTATTTTCTTCGTGTGTATCTATTGGCTACGGAAAGCTATGCATTTGTAACTCCCGATTAAGTTCATAATTACTAATCTTTTATCTCAGTCTTCAGTGCAATCTTGAAGTACATGAGATTTTTCCGACGTTTTAGATATTTCCTGAACGTTTAGATGCAAATTCGAAATGGACGAGCCAGGGTCATTAGGATACAGGGTAGGTCCAAACGTGATCTATAACCCGGTCTTCCTTTCTTCTTTCCTTTTTTTTTCTTTTTTATTAGCACGGAACAAAGATGTGCTCCATTTACTGACATTGCCGCTGCGGTCCTAGTTGTCAGGGAAACCACAAGCGCGCATTTCGTCGCGATGTCGCATCCGGGGTAGGGGTGGATCTTAATCGGGCATCGAGACCGACGATATTATATTGACGAATTCAATTTTTCCGCGCTACGAAAAGGCGGAAGAGGAAAAGAGAAAGAAAAAGAAAAGGAAAAAAAAATAAACGATTATCACGATCACGAGAATTCCTCGCCGTCACGGACGAGCGTGGTGGCGATTCTTCTTCGCGCGCGCCTCCGAAGGAGCGCCTGCGAAATTTGAATTCATCGGGATTTTACAACGGGGCTGCCGACGATCCTCTCCGACTTCCATTCCGCGCCCGTGACCGCCCGCTAGATCCTTTCCACCCCGCGATCTACGCCACTGCCTAAATACTCGGATTTCACGACATGTTTACAAAGATCCTAGAGATAAGTTGAGAATGGCCGCCGCACAGCCCCATGCCTCCTCCATGGGTGTAAGGTGACAGCTGCCTGCGCCTGCGTTACATGCACACTTACACACTCCCCCACACACACACACACACACACAC